AGGAGGACAGCTTGGATGTGTCATACTGCAGACACCCACAAAAGCCTGGACCTTGCTGTCTGGTATCAAATAGAGCCTTGCTGCTCCTGCGTGAGGGTGAGAGCAGCCGTGTGAGCCGTGGTGCGTGTCAGAGGGGATTTGGGGGTGCTGGAAGCAGGAGTGTGAGGTGCAGGCCCCCAGCTAGATGCTGTGCGGAGCCTGCCCCCAGCCTGCCGTCACCCTCTGGGGTCTTGCTACTGAACAGTGACCAGAAATGAGCTGGTGTTGGCAGTGCCCACGGCCCAGGGTGAGGGGACGCAGTGATGCTTTGGGCTGGGAGCTGAGTTAGGGGTGTCCTGGGATGTGTCTTCCAAGCAGTCACGGGGGTGGCTGGGCAGCTCTAGAGCGGTTATACAGCAGAGCAGGGCTCAGCCGCGGGCTTGGGAGGCAGTTGGAAAGGCTGGGGGCAGCTTTGCACAGACGGGAGCTGTGCTTCCAAACTCCTTCCTCTGCACATCGGTTTTCTACTGTCCCCTTGAACAGTCCCCATTCGGTGCCTGTACCCCGCTGAGCCCCGGCACGAGTGGCACACGGGGAAACGTCTGTCTGGGGGTAGAGGGCAGCGATGCCCTCCCCGGCTCTGCCTTACAGACCCTCTCGGGGCCTCACACCCCGGGGACTTGTTGTGTCTCCAGGGCAGAGGTCCCTCCTCCCTGAGCTCAGCCCACGCCTGCGTTAGCACCCGCCTGGTACTCGCCAGCACAAGGGAGCTGGGCAGCAACAAGTCACTGAAGTTGATTTTTGGGGGGGGGCGTTAAATGTTATTAGTGGATCTGCTGGAAGTCTCTGCAAATCGCTACCCTTGTGATGCTTAAAAAAAATTGCTTGTCCTTTCTTTGCTGGGCTCTCTTGCATGTCCACACACACATGCGTGCACACGCATTTCCATTGATTCTATGCGTTCGACTGCAGTATCAGGGTGCTGCTTTCACGTCTCTCCAGCTGAAGACAGTTCCCGAGTCTCTCCTTTGGGAAACCGGCTCTGCCAAGCTTTGGTGAAGGCTTTACTTCATTATTGCTTTGCTTCCCTCCTCATTTTGCCCTCTCGCCTTTCCTTTGCTTGGGGAGATGCTGGCAGATCGTGGGGCACAGCGGTGGACACGGGGCTGGTGTGCTTAGGAGGATGCCCGGGGCTGGATGTCCCCTGGGGCGGTGCAGGAGATGGCTCCCGTGTAATTCAGGGCAGGAGGCACCGTGGGCAGGCTGTTGCATAGGTGCTGGTTTGTCCTTTGCACCTTCTCCCAGCGTTCAGGCTGTTGCTGTCAGATGCGGGTGACGGACAGGCCGTGGGATGCTCCAGCCGTGTTGTACCTGCAGCAGTCGGCAGCCTGTTCGCGAAGCTGGCCCAGTGCCCCACAGCCTGCACCCCTGCCCCTGGGATTTGCAAAACCCACCCCTTTTCCCATTGATTTTCTTAATTATTATCACTATTTATTCCTAAACCCCTTTCTGCCAGGGCTGGACATGAGCCCTGCAGTGGGGTGACAGCACCTGCATACCAGGGCTCTGTTTACAGTGCTGGTGCTACAGCAATGTTGGGGCTCCTCAGAAAGACCCAGAGCTGCAAATGGAGCAGCCGCCTGCGGCAAAGCCGAGCCGAGGCGGAGCAGCGAGCAGAGATGTTGTTGCAATGTGTGTGGTTTTGATGAGCTGTTTTGAAGAGGTGACCCGTCCCCTTTCCTTCTCTGGCTGGTAGTCACGGTTCTAAGCTGCTAATGCTATTTTGAGCCTCCTTTCCCTTGCAATGCCAAAATACCCGGGAAGTAAACTGAGTTTACAGAATCCACGGTAATCTAGCACTTTTCTCCTGCTGGTTGTTGTGAGCCTGCTTTCGCCAGGGTGAGACTACAGAATTCAATGCCTGCACAGCTGGAGTGCTGTCACCCGGGGTCAGAGCCACCCATCAGAGTCGTCTCCCTCTTCTTCTTCGGCTGTTTTGTGGTGGCCACGCTGCTGCTGAAGGATTCGATGTGGCTGAGAGAAGTGGGTCTCCAGAGACCCAGCTTTGCTGCTCAGAGTCGCCCCCAGCCTGGGGACAGCTTGGCGCTGGGCGTTTGAGAGGTCGGTGGCCACGCTGTGGTCCCAACTTTTCCCACGGCTGGCTCAAGGGTGGCACCAGGAGCCTCCCTGGGGCTGGGCAAGGAGTTTGGGGCACAGCCTGTCCCCCTCTGCCTGGCCCTGCTCCCCATGGATCCCCCGGGGCCAGGCGCTGTGTGCTGGGTCACGGTGAGCATCAGTAGGAAGAGCAGCAGTAGCCCCACTACAGCCCCGGGGGGTTGCTCCTCCTCTCGGGTCCTTCCCCCCGACACCCCAGCTCTCACCCCATGGTTCCTTCCCTCCCCCCCGGCAGAGCTCAAAGCAAAGGCTGGCTCTTTCTGGGTGGATTTCGAGCCCCTCGCGGGGGCACGATGCATGGATCGAGATTTGCTGGCTGGCTTGTACATCTGTGAGCCAGTTATTTTTATTTTCTTGTGAACGCTATAAAAAGATGAACTCAGGAGCAAATCCCGTCCTTTCTGGGAACTCAGCCCTGCATGAAGGGGAACAACCTGGGCTTGAAAGCGAGCACCGACACCGTGGGGCTTCCTGTAGTGCGGCCCCAGCGCTGGCACCATGATGCCCTGCAGCATCTCGGGTTGAGACATGCGGGTGCAGCTGGGTGTGATGGGGAAAACGGGTCTGGGGGGGCGAGAAGGAGGGGAGTGGGGTCGGTGTCTTTTCTGTGATGGCACGAAGGGACAGGGGACATTGTACCCTCAGCCATGCCAGCACAGGGACCCCTGTCCTTGGGCAGTGCAGAGGTGGTGGGACAACATCTCCATCCCCAAGATGAGGTGATGTGTCCAGGAGAGGGGGTTGAACCCCTCAGTGTGTGTGGGGATCCATCGGAGCCAGATCCCACGGCCCTCCGAGCAGAGGTGGATGAGGGCAGGAGGAAGACAAGGCTTCTAGCCATGTTTGTGTGGCTGATTCACTCTTTTCCCCGGCTGGGAAGGGTTGAGCAGGGGAGATAAATGCAGATGTAAGTAATGGAGCTGTTTATACGCTCGCTCTCTGTGACTTATGCCGTGAGCAGGTCTAGACTAAATATAATGGTTATTGATATGAGGCAGCGGCTGATTTATGGCCCTCTGCATGGGGACAGGAAGATCTGGTTATAATAATACTCAGCAGGGGAAAACAAACATTTGACAGCCAAAAGCTTCCTGGGAAGAAAGGCCAAGCGCTGGGGATTGGTGGAGGGCAGTGTGGTGCAGAGGAGGGCCGTGTCAGGACCCAGACCCCGGAGCAGACCCCCGGGGAGAGCCAGGGTCCCTGATAGAAATAGCCTCCTGCATCACATCCCGGTCCTGCCATGGGGGTGTCGCAAGGAGGGAAATCTGTGCAGAAAGATTTATACCCTCTGTAATGGCAATTTATAGAGACCTGATCTTCATGGGTGCTTGGTGCCATCGGGGCACAGCCCTGGGCATCCCAGGGATGCTCAGCACAGCCCATCCCAGCTCCTGTGCACTTTCACCACCTCCTCTGGCTGTGCTCTGCCGCAGGGTTTTCAAGAGAGTTAATTGATCCTATTCCAGTGATGTTCTTCTGGTAAGAAAACGATGGGTCTTTAAATAAAGCCCTCAGCTGCCGGCGGTCACAGGGCTCAGCCGCTCGCGGAGCCTTTGCAGTGGTAAGAGCGGGGGGCGCGTGAGTCACGTCAGCCTCGTGTGTGTGGGTACGGCTGCGTTAAGGGGAGCGCGGGGCCATTCCTGGATGGACCTGCTCAGAGATAACCCACACCCTCCGCTCCCCCACCGCCCCGTGGCTTCCCTCGGGCCAGCGGGTCCCACCGCCCCTCCAGCACCCACCTCTCCTCCGCTGTGGACCACGGGGTGTTTCAAGGGAGCAGGACACGGGATGCAGGACGGAGGGCTTTATTGCGGCTTCCCCAGCTGACTGGGGTCCCCCAGCACTCGCGCAGCCCCAGCTGTCTGGCCTCACACCACGGCCGCAGGAAAGCAGCGCCAGTGCTCTGCTTTGCTCTTCTCTGCAAGCACCTTGCCTGGGCTGAGATGCTGAGCCGTGCCCAAGCTGTCTGAAAGCATCAAAATCCTCCCCCAGCGCTGACCCGCTGATGTCCCGCTCTGCTTCCCCTGGCAGCGTAACCTCTCCCACGGGGCCATGGCTGTGCTCCCCCGGCAAACAGCCTCTCTCCCCGCCGGTCCTTGGTGACCTCTGGATGCTCTGCAGAGCTTCGCATGCACCAAAATGGCAGGCACGAGCCAGGGTCAGCAGCGCGGGGCGGTGCCCTGTGCCATTGACAGTCCCATACTTGGGCTACGGCGCTCATCTCGGCTACGGATGCTGCTTCCAGCTGTGCTCCATCCTGGGGAAACCTCCCCCGAGCCACAAGCCCCAGGGAGACGCTAAAGCCCAGTCAGCACCGGCTGCACCAGGAAGGTTTGTCTCTTGATTCCTATGCTTCTCTCCTGGTTTTTCCTACCTGAGCTGGGTTTGGGCCCGGGTGGCTGTGGCCAGCATTGTCCTGGGGCACAGCTCCTGAACTGGGACACAAACGAACCAAGACTTCCCAAACGTCCCTAAAAGCGCACCCCGCTAACTCCAGCCAGACACTGTGTTGCTTGGAGGGACCAGAGCTTTCAATAGGCTCCAGGCGTAGATGCAACGGGGTGTAAGTCCATCCGTGACAGAAGAACAGGTGATTACACACGAGAGTTGATTTGGGGGTTTGATCTCTCTGCTCTCAGCAAGTGCTTGGTGGAAGCAAATCCTGCCCTTGGATCCTCGGTCGGTCGCTCGGCTGAGTCCATAGTCAGCAGCATCGCTTTAACAGTTATGATATTTGGGTGTATTTGAATGAAAAAGGGTACGATTTGATGCATTTTAACCCAAAACGTAGCCCATCCCCAGGCCTGCGATGCTGCAGGAGACTGCAAAGCCGTGGGGTGGGAAGGAGCTCTGCTAGGTGACATTGAAGGCGATGAAGGAGCCATCTGCTTTCTGCTGATGTCCCACTGGCTCTGCCTCCCCCCAGGGCTGGGCTGGGACCTCGCAGCGCAGGGAGGAGCGGCCGGGCATGGCTTCGCTGATGTGGGTCACCTCGCTGAGCTCTGCCTCCAGTGTGCTGACGGTGTTTGTCACTTGGGCCACGTGCACCTTGTTGGCTGCCTTCTTGTGCAAGAGGCAGATGAAGATCTTCTTGAAGCCCTTGCGGAAGTGTTTGGAGACCAGGGCGTAGACGATGGGGTTCACGCAGGAGTTGGCGTAGGAGATGAGATGCGAGAGGATGCGGAGCACGTACGTGGCGTGGTTGAGGGGGAAGTACCCGAACCAGACGCAGAGGATGACCAGGTGATGGGGCAGCCAACAGAGGCAGAACAGGACGGCTACAATGATGATCATCCTGGTGACCTTCCGCTTGGCCTTCTTGGACTCCGACATGTCTTGGAGAGGGTCCACAGACCTCCACAGGTAGCGAATAGTCCGCACGTAAGTGAGGCTCAGGATCAGCACTGGGATGATGTAACTGAAGATGAAGGTGCAGATGTCCATGACCTTGCGCTGGGAGATCTCCCAGATGGGGTGGCAGACGGTCAGGTTGGCCAACTGGAACTCCTGGTAGTAGCTGAGGTAAGGGCCCGAGAAGATGAAGGAAAGCCCCCAGATGAAGCAGATGGCTGTGAGGGCGTTCCTGGGTGTCCTCAGCTCCCTCGAGTGCAGGGGGTATCGTATGGCCAAATACCTGCATGGGAAAGGGAGAGGGACAAGACTGCAGTCCTGGGGAGGGCACGGAGAGCTGCTCCAGGAGCAGATTGGAGAAAGGGCAAAAGTGGTGATAGATTTGAGCTTTCCAGGGCAATTAGTCCCACAGCTGATTCCCTGGTGCTTCTAAGGGTCCCAGTGGGGTGAGGAGGATCCTCTCCCCTGACCCTGTCCCCATCACCCTCTCCGCTCCCAGCAGTGCTTGTGGGGAAGACGGGGATGGTCCCCTTCTGTCCCCCTCCCTAATCCAGCAGATCCTCACTTGATCATCAGTCTGTCTGGCACAAGCGATAGCAGCAGTGAGGATATGAAGGCAGGAGCCAGTCCCCAGGATCCCCAGACATCATGTTCCTCGCGTTGGCACATGCGAAAGCACGTCACCCGTTTTCAGTTCTGCAATTAGCTAATTAGGCCCAGATCTAGGGGCTCATGCAAGCCCCTGCTTGCTCGACACCTCTGTTCCTCCCAGTTCTGTGGGATGCAGGAGGAGAGGCAGACCCTGGGTCTGCTGGGGGGTTGGGGGGGGCTGTCCCGGCAGCCAGCGCGGTGCTGTGCTGGGATGGCAGGACGCATCCAGCCCTGCTCTGGGGCTGCCGTGGCTCTTCCCAGGGGCCTTTCACAGGGACTTTCCACATCCCACCGTCTCATGGGTTTCGAGCACCGAGCAGAGCAGCACCAGGAGCTCCCTGCCTCTTGCTTGCTGCAGGTTAGTAACTCGCCAGCCCTTGCAGAGCCAGGGGCTTGAGCTAGCACGGGGCAAAGCACAGGCAGGAGCAACAGGCTGCCTTTTACAGAGCTTCCTGGCTAAAACTCACCCTGAGCCAGGCTGGGATGGTCACTGGGACAAGGGACATCGCTGGGACAGAAATGGGCTTTTTGTTAATAAAAGGGGAGGGTGGGAGAAGCAGTATCCTAGCTCAAACATCCCAGTGTCGTCTTCTCAAGAGCAGGGGCTCTCTCCCCGTGTCCCGGGAAGAGCTGGGGCTGCACAGAGACTGAGCTTTGTTTCTCTCTGGTTTTCTATCCCCCCTTCAGCTGCCAGAGCCTGTGGATAAACCCCAGTCCTACAGCTTCAGGGTCTGAAAGCCTCCTCCAGCTGGGCACTGGGGACAGGGGTCCCAATCCAACCCTCTCTGCTGGCCCCCATCCTTGGTGGTCGCATTTCCTTGCACACGTGAACTGGGAAATGCTCCTGCATTCCCCTGGGAGGTCGCAGCAATCGGGGCTTGGCTCCAGGGGACTCTGTCCCTTCTCCTGCCCGGGTGCGATCCAGAGAAGGGGGGGAGCCTCAGGGTACAGGGACACCCCCCCCCATCCCCTTTCCTACCTGTCGAGGGAGACGGTGGCCAGGGTGAAGCTGCTGGCGTACATGGTGAGGTAGATGAAGAAGTGGACGGCCTTGCACATGAAGGGCCCAAACACCCAGCCCTCCAGGGTGTAGATGGTGGCTTGGAAGGGGACGCAGAAGAGGATGAAGCAGAGGTCGGCCACCCCCAGGTTGAGGATGAAGAGGTTGGTGGTGTTCTTCACCTGCCCGTTGCGCAGCAGCACGGCCAGGACCAGGCAGTTGCCCACCGTGCCCACGAGGAAGATGATGAGGTACACCAGCGGGATGATCACCGACTCGGGCTGCCAGCCCCCCTCGGAGCCCGCCGCCGAGCCGTTCATGGCCGGGCGTGCACGGAGCGTGCAGCGGGGACGGGCAGGGGGAGCGTGTGTGGAGAATGCACTGGGGGTGCAGGGGGAGGCGCACCGAGGGTGCACGGGGAGCGCGGCAGGGATGCACGGGA